GTTCCACCAGAAGATGGCGGCTTATTCATTTTATGTAAAGAAAAGTTGGGTTTCGAGGAATCTCTTGTTTTATAATTATTTAGCTTACTTTCTTGACTAATTAGCTTGAATTTGGTTGTGACGATGATGATGTTCGTCACCTTTCCACCGGAATCGAAGGAGATTGCCTCGGAAACAGCGTCAGCATGAATGTTCCAGTAAAGAGCTAATTGACAGCTGGTCAAGAGGAATCGGCCGTCGTCTTCTGGTGGAACCGAGCTTCAAATCTCTTCACCAACAAACGCTTTCACTCGAAATGGAAGTAGGCTCAACAATTAAGAAAAGTATCAACCAGTTCAACCGGCTGGCTCGTAGCTCTCGCCTCTCACTTCACTAAGCTGCCGTGAGGGATGATGATCTGCTTGACACATCCTGACTGTGCGGATGCCGGATGGGCGAGAGCCGGACAGTCTGCTCGGCTCAGCGGCACCAGCAGCCGTCGTTGTCATGGCGAGACGAGTGAATTCGGACAGAGTCGTGCGGCGCTGTCGGGAGCCCGGAGGTGCATTTGGGCCCAATGGACGACAGGAAAACTAGCTCTCCCGTGCAATGTTGTGTTGAGTGAGGGAGAGGCTGGAAGATGCAGCAATGCACCAAGTCGACCGACCGATACAACAAATTGTCATGGCTACACGAGCAGAGGATGGAGGAGAAAAGAAGTTGCGTAAAGCTGCTCTTCCGGTCCGACTGAGTTGCGTAAACTGACCGTCGAAGGTGGCATCAGAGCGTGAGGACAATCACGGTTGCACTGAATTCCGCAAATGGCTGTCTGCGGAACGGTTCAATCAACAGTCCGTCATCAGCTTCCACGAAACGGGGCTACTCTCGAAGCCGACTGGGGCAAGGAAAAAGACGTAGTTAGCCGATTGTACGGAGTTTACTCACTCCATTTTGTGTAAGCTGGTGGCGGACTGACGGTTGCATTTTTGTCTGAACGCTATAAATAAGGTATAAAGACCAAGATGGTGTGGTGTCGCAGTCTCCTTTCGTTGAATAGAAGTTGTTTGACCTTGTTTTCGCAACTCGGTCATATTGGTAGGAACTTAAAAAAACGCACCTAGTCCGGAGTCCATTGTAGGCATCATCATTTCCAGAGTAGGACCGTGGACGTGGTACATTCCCAGACGTTTCGCCGGCATCGTCAGTGA